TTATTATTATTAATATTATTAATACTATTCTTATTATTATTATAATTATTATTATTATTATAATTAATATTATTATTATTACTATTATTATTATTATTATAATTAATAATATTCCAAACACGAGTCCTAAGAGTTAAAATCCTCTTGTGTTTTTTTTTTTTTTTTTTTTTTTTTTTTTTATTATTATTATTTATTTATAAGAGGGTATAAAGTATAAATTGCTTGCAGTTTATTATTCTATCATTTCGACGAAAGGACAATAAAGACCGCATTCCAAGCACTTAGATTTAGAAAGTCCGACATCTTTCTTGCTTATCACGATATAGGAGGTACTTTGGTATAAGACCGTATAATAGCGTACGTCAAATAACAAAAAAAAAAAAAAAGAAAAATCATCATCTTTGACTGACATTTTTTTACTGGGTTTACTAGGAAAGTTTGTGTCAATTTAAACAAAAACAAAAAAAAGAATTTTAAAGCAATATTTTGATATATTTCGGTATATACATGACAATATGTATTTATTATTAATTATGATGTAATCAAATTAATTAATATGCATATTTAATTTTATATCCAAAAAATATATCATATATTAAATTATATATAATTTATTAATCATTATGAATTGTATATAAATATGAAATTAATATTATATTTAATTAACCCTTAAAGTGCACACTTGGTGTTTGACCATTCAGATGGGTTAAAATGAACTTGGTTCATTTTTTGGGTTAGTTCATTCAGATGGGTATAAAACCTATTTTATTTGAAAAAAGATGTATCAAACTACTTTGAAAAAAAATTGCGAGGTCTAAATATTAAATAGCGGCTTCAGGAGACCCATTCAAACACGTTGGGGTGTCAAACACCCACAATGCACTTTAACTAACTTTTACCAATTGTGCACTTTAAGGGTTAATTATTTGAATTAATTTCATTATATAAATTATAATTAAATCGTTAGCCGAACTTTCCAAGGAACCGATAAAAATTAGTATCCCCCCCCCCATCTATAAATAGTTCGTCGTACTTTCGTTGCAGTAATTTTCATTATACACCCAAAAAAAAAAATAGTTAGGTTCGTTTCTTTTTTATTTTTTTTTTATTTTATTTTATTTATTTTTTTTTTTTTAATATCGAATACATGAAAATAATTCGCAACAATATAGTTTTTTTTTTTTTTTTTGCTAAAGCGTATTGCTGCTGCTGACCTCAACGAGGGGACAATTGTAGCTTCCTGTCGTCGATTTAAACAGAAACAAAGAGATAAACAAACAAACAAACAACAAAAATATAACAAATTACAACAGAAAGAACGGGATCGCGCCGCTAGCCTCGGTAATACGAAGAAAACGATGAGAATTTGTTGAAAAAGGACTGTATGAATGGAGTGCTATGTGCATGCATGTGTTTATGAGTTTTTTTCTTTTTTTTTGAAATTAATGAAAAGAAAATCTAAATAAATGTATTGTAAGAAAATGGAAAACATAATAGGAAATGGAGAGGTGGAGAGAGAAAACGCATGAACGATGATGAATCAATAATATTCATAGAGATATTACAGATAGAGGAAACAAACCATAAACGGTTGTATAAGTGGAAATGTCTCTGCATGAATATAGCAACAAAAAACGAAAGGTTTATGTTGTCTCTTTCTAACTCATGCGGTACACATATATATAACACAAAAAAGAACAAAAGACTCGCAAGTTAGAGAGAGACAACATTAACTTCTCTTTTTAATACGCTGACAGGTTTTATGCTGGCTTGTTTGCTCTAGGGACCCTGTAGGAGGGACGCCCCAAAGAATTTTGAGGGACATGAACTTATGTAGTCACGTGATTGCGCGCGAATGAATCAAACATTTTAAATAGTATCAAAGTTGTATATAGTAATAATGAATAGTGTAGTGGTGGTAGAGTGGTGAATTGGTTTGAAAAAATTATGAAATAATGAATTGCATCAAATACAGAAAAAAATGAACCATATTATTATTATCAATTCAAAAAGAAAGATTGAATTAAGTTTGATTTGATAAAAGGCATTACAGTATTTAGAAATTTCAATACAACTTGTAGGAATTTATACAGTTTTGATAAATACAATTATCTACTATATTTACAATTATTTTAATCATTCGTACAATTTGTTTTTAATTTCCAATAATAATAAATCAGCTAGGATTCCTGGGTATTATATCTTCCTAAGTAACCACAGCCGTTATTTATACATACTAAAGATTAAACATGGCTGCGCATTGTATCGGAAGTTGTCCCCCAAAATTTTCAGCAATATGTATGGCGTGTCCCTCCTACAGGGTTTCTAGTTTGCTCTATGTGTAGTATCTCTATGATCAATATACGCATGAATGTTGTTGTTGTTAACGATATTGATAATGATATTGTACGTTCTATGCGTAAAAATCGTTATCAAATTATAATAAATCAACGGTGCTAATAGTTATTGAAAAAAACAAACAAACCCCAAATTTGAGACATCGATCGGAAATCAATCGAAGATATAAATCTTGACTACTTTTCTAAAACTTTCTTTCCTTACAATTTGCAATTGTGAACACATTTTTTCATGTATAAAATATCAAATTATGTAAACGCATTTTATTATACATAATATGGTAATATCAATAATGAATAAATGGAGGAAAGAAAGAATAACTCGTTCGAATGCAGTGATTCGAAAAAGAAGAAGAAGAAGAAAAGAAAAATAAAGTAACAACGTAATAAAAGAATAAAAAAAAACTATTTGTGACTATTTATGGCTAAATATCATTGGCACTGATAATTTACACCACCAACGTGTAAAAAAGAGGAGCAACAAAATCGTAACATTCCAATGATTCGCTCCAATTACAGAGAGATCCACAAACCGTATTATCATGTTCCGTAATTTTATGCGTTGATATTAAAAATAAAAAAATTAAAAATCTGTCTCTCTCAAAAAAAAAAAAAAAGGAAGAAGTTATGCGAAATATTGTTCATTCGAATGAATTCTATCTTTTCGAAACAATCGCAAGAGTTCATGTGAAAATCGTCGATTTAAAACGTGGGATCGTTAAACCGTTTAAAGTATAATCAGTGCATTTAATTATTAATCATTTAACTGATTTCATTGTTATTGTTATTATTGTTGTTGTTGTTGTCGTTGTTAATTAATCTTTCTATTCGTTCGTAACGAGCTCGTTAAAAACAAACAATACGACTTTAACGTTGTCATACTATAATAATAATAACAACTTAATTGTAATAATTATTTTGTTAGGTGCATTTAGAAAATTAATCAATCTCACGAAGATCATTCGAAATATTTTCTTGCGAGACAAACGCGGAACATGATATTTGTTGGAATAGTTTAAATAATCAAATGTGCCAACAATTTTCCTTTGCCATCATCGTATAAATATAATGTATTTACTTCAATGTAATGACGATCGTCATAATCGTCATGTCATTTAAAACAGTCACCCTTATTCATCGTCGTTCGTTACTTCGACAGGCCTACTTCAAATTAACGAGATGATTTTTTTATTGTTTCGTTTACCAACCACCCACCCACCCACCCTCCTTCCTTAAACATATAAAAATAAAGTTACAAGGAAGAGGAGCAACGAGAGATGACCTTGAAATTACTTTCTGCCTATTTTTGTCATCATCATTGATTTGCATCAATGGCGTCGATGTTAATTCATTGTTTCAATTTGAAATTTGTGAAATAGTGAATCTATTCAATGATTGATTGATTGATGGATTGATTGATGGATTGATTGATTGATTGATTATGTCAGGGCTGTGCGAATCTGGTAATCTGCAATAAAAGTTTAAGGGAAATATCTCTTTGTAATAATATTACGTATTTTATTACGTAAAGAAATGAGATGATAATTACAAAAGTGTGTGCGAAGTAGTAACACGGAAAGAAAATTTATATGTGTACAGAAATGTTGCGATAGGATAAATAAAAATGAAAATGTGAGCGAGCGAGCGAGCGAGCGAGTGAGTTTTGTGAGATTGTGTGTATTATCCCCTTTGGTGGTTATGATGATGATGATGTGTAATGTGTAAGAGGGTGAAGAAAAAGAAAGTAAGATAAAAAAATGAAAAAAAAAGAGAAAGAACGAAAGGGAAATTCAAATATTAAACGTGAGGATGTTGCATGAATGATATATCTTAAAATCGCATTGAAAAATACCTAATACAATCGAACGAAAAAAAGAAAAAAAAAAACAACATATTTTCTATGCGCATACGAAATATGAATGCCGAGAGAATGATTTTGTTATGTATCTTTGAATTAATTATTATAATAACGTAATTTTAAGTAACCGATCACGTAATTATATTGCTAGAGAGAGTGTTATTTATTTTTATTTGTTGCAAATTTGTCGAGATTGCCCTCCATTTGAGTAAATAAATAAATACAAAATTATTGACAAATCATTCATTACTTTTACCACAAAGCAATAAAAAAAAAAACATCCCCAATCTGTTTAATTTATTATTATAAATTAATTGTATAAATCATTATTTATTGTTAATAATTTTCACAACGATGAGAAAACATTTTTATTTATTTCTTTATTTATTTCTTTTTAAATCTCTTACCTTGTCGTACTTTTGATATTCAAAACAAAAATGACTGCTACACGCCAATGATCATTTCTGTATATCTTCTGATATAACATAACCTATAAATATGTAATATAAACTTCTATTTAATTTTATATTCGAATTAAAACACACAGTGACTTATTTATATTATTTTATTATAATATTTTTCTTAACTTTAATCAACACATTAACTCGTTAAATCGTATTTATTTTTTTTTTCAACTCTCTGTCCCTTATATTAATATAAACAATAAATAAACTTTATGCGCACATTTATAGATAATAACAAATTGATTTTTATCTTTAAAATAATGGAAAGAAAAATTCGAACAAAGCTGTAACAGTAATGGCATCACAAAAGAAACATCGTACTTTTGATCTTCAAACGAAAATGACTGTTACACGCCAATGATCATTCCTGTATATTTTTCTGACACGTGTACACTGTGTTTAGTTTACTCAAACGTAGAGTGAACGTGTTCAATATTATTGTCAAATTAACTATCAATGTGTTTTTTTGTTTCTTAAATAAATGAACTCCGTGTTAACATCATGTGAAAACATCTACGCATGGATTGATCAGAACTTTTCAATTCGTCAAACAATCGTAAGAAAGTTATTTCTCTTTTAATCATTTCTAACATAACCTATAAATGTAATATAAACTTCTATTTAATTTTCTATTCGAATTAAAACAAAGTTACTTATTTATATTATTTTATTATAATATTTTTCTTAAAAGTTAGTTAAAGTGCATTGTGGGTGTTTGACACCCCAACGTGTTCGAATGGGTCTCCTGAAGCCACTATTTAATATTTAGACCTAGGAATTTTTTCAAAAGTAGTTTGATACATCTTTTTTCAAATAGAATAGGTTTTATACCCATCTGAATGAACACTAGATGGCACTAGACAAATAACCCATTTTTTCAAATTTGTTGGGGTGTCCAACACCCCATGTGCACTTTAAGGGTTTCTTAACTTTATTCAACACATTAACTCATTAAATCGTATTTATTTTTTCAGCTAGCTCTCTGTCCCTTGTATTAATATAAACAATAAATAAACTTTATGCGCACATTTATAAATAATAATAAATTGATTTTTATCACTAAAATAATGGAAAGAAAAATAAAACGCAATGAAAAGAAAAATTCGAACAAAGCTGTAACAGTAATGGCATCACAAAAGAAACATTGGTCATTAGGTTTGTTAGATTCCATGAATGATCCGACTCTTAAAGTTATCGAAGATGATAGCATAGTCGTAATTAAGGACAAATATCCAAAAGCTAAATTTCATTATTTAGTATTACCGAAGGAAAACATTTCAACGATATGGAAAATTACAAAGAAACATGAAAATCTTTTGTGTCATATGAACGATGTTGCTGATGAATTGATTAAAAAACATTCGGAACATGAATTCATGTACGATGAAAATCAATGTATAATGTTTGAACAAAATTTGATCATAACTTTGTAGCTAATATTTCTTTACATTTACAGTATTGGATATCATTCTATGCCAAGTATGCAAAGAATGCATTTACATGTTATTAGTACCGATTTCAACAGTCCATGTTTAAAAACTAAACAACATTGGAATAGTTTCACTACGCCATTTTTCATGCATTCTAAAGGTAAATCATCCAATGATGATACCTCATTTCAAAGAATTTACTAATCGATTTGTTTTTTCCTCATAGAACTATGTAAACAATTGAAAGAAAACGGGGAAATTAAAAAGATAAGTTTGACACAATCGAAACAGTATTTAAATAGCGAATTAAAATGTCACCGTTGTTCCATGAAGCCTAAAAATATGCCAGAATTAAAGAAACATTTAATCACGCACGTGTCGGAAAAGTAAAAAATGAATATTTTGTTATTTTTATTCCATCGTCCAACAAGTGACTGTTATTTCATCGATCACAAATTTTCAATTCATATTAACTGAACTTTGTACGAATCAAATGGCAATCAACAACATTTCAAGAACTTGTTTACAACCAATTAACGATATGTAGTAATATTTATCAGTCATAAATGTAAAAATAAAAACTTAAGTAATGAAATTGTAAAAATAGAATTTTATCGTGATAAAAAAAAAAAAAAAGAAAAAAAAAACGTTTCGAAGATGTTTTTAAAAACCCTCCTTCTTTTAATGATTACGCATAAATAATCTCTCGTACAATGTGTAATTGAAAAATGAAACACTAATAACACACATGAAAAAATATTATTTTGTAAATACAAAACATAAAACTTTTCCAAGAAAAATAAGCTAATAAAATTAAATAAGAATGTAAATTATCGTTAATTAAATTGTTAATAAATTCAACAAATATTAGAGATGATAATTAATCAGGAAATTAGGGATATCGAATATTTGAGGAAGGGGTTTTTGAATAAATAAATATTCACAGTTGAAAATATGTTTCGGAAAATTTACTATAAATAAATTTGATGTTAATAGGTTTGTTTTTTTTTTTTTTTCGTCGCCTATAATATCAATTACGTGCTAACTATTTACAGTCTTCATCCTTATCCTGTATCTAGAATTTATAATGTATCTTCTGTGTGTATTTTTCGGTGCATGAAGAAAGATGTATAACTTTGTGTGTCTGTATGCGTGTGTATATCTGTATGTATTTTGTGTATAAGCGTAATCGAGAGTACGATAAGATAATAGAGTCCGATGTAAAGTGTCGATCGTGTATAATCCTTAAATTCTGTATACATTTAGTAATACTGCAATGAATAGTTTGAAGCGTTTCTATCGCATCGAAACAGTAGTAATAGTAATAGTAGTAGTAATAGTAGTAATAGTAGTAGTAGTAATAGTAATAGTAGTAGTAGTAGTAGGCATTTTGAAAATTCCGCAAGTATTTTGCCCTGTTATTGCTTGCGTGGTTCACGGAAAATGAATTTCGATCGATAATCCGTGATAACCAATTTTACACATCACTGATAATGTTTTTCTTTTCTTTTTTCCGATTGATTTTCATTCCTCATTTTGTTTTTTTTTTTTTAAGTATTTATCTCCACATGTTGTGGCGCAACATTTAAACGCATTTATACACATAAATAATTCATGAAATTAAACTATAAGTTTATAATGTGTGTTTGTTGTATTGTGTGTGTTTGTTTGTTTGTTTGTTTGTTTGTTGGATTTCTCTTGAAACTCGTTACATTTGTTTTTTACTTTAGAGGCGTCTTCGAGCAGACATCGATTCGCGCGAACAATACATTTTATATTATTTTCTTTTTATTTATAATTATTTATCTAACTATCAACTATATAATACAAAAAAGGAAAACACTTTAATACGATGCCGCTCGAAGCACATAGGAATCTCGATACCATGATCATCCGAAGATCCACCATACTCAACCATTTTGTTTTTTTTTCACATAATACAAATATCCGATAATTTATTTAAATCTATTACGGAATCAAAAACCTCGTTTCTTCTTAATCCTTTTCAATTTTACATTTTCGTCGTTGCGTACAACACACACGACGACGCATCATATACATATATAAATATGGGTCGTCTTTCTTATAACACTTACGTACAATTTGACTAAACAATTTTTTCTGTGGCTTTTTTTTCTTTTTCTTTTTTTTTTTACAACGATTTACATAAAACGTAGACAGAAAAGAAGAAAAAAGAATAATCTAACAACAAAAAAAGGCAGCTTAGCTTAGCGTAAAGGACTTAAGCGTGCGAAAATAACGCTTTGGTATGTCTCGCGATTGGATAGAATTGTAGTCATCACATTTAACATATTTACAATTGTTCTGATCGATCGATCGATCAGAACAGAGAGAGAGAGAGAGAGAGAGAGAGAGAGAGAGAGAAAGGAGGGAGAGTGCACGATTAATGTAAAACAAACTAACATACGTAAAGATTCAAATTTTCTCAACAAAAATATAATATTATGGAAAATAAGATGAAAGAAACAACAAATAAAACTAAAAATTATCCTCCTCGCGAGAAAGAAGGCAAACACAAACAAAAAAAAAAAAAGAAAAGAAAAGAAAAGAATTTCGTAAGAAGGAAAAAGAGAAGAAGAAAAATCGACGACGGCAAAATAGAAAAAAGAAAAAGCGGGGATGAAGGTGAAAATTTCGTGAGGAACAAAAATCCGTAATTTTTCAGGTCCGCTCGCACCGTACGCAGCCCACCAAAAGCGGTCACTTTGGAAAAAGCCACTGGGCACGGGGACAATGCCGATTCTATAAGAAGAATCACCATTATTTCGAACACATTCAACACCACGGTTCCCTGCTCCTCACGAAATTCAACCTTACATCGGATTTTTCTTTTTTCATTTTTTTCCGCTTTCCGATTCATCTCCTCTCTATTTTTATATCACACAACAACAACACGATGATCCCGACCGAACGTCTTTTCAAAAATCTGTGCCTCCACTCCTCGCGAGGAAGTTTTCAAACGACGAGACAATTTTACGTGCACTCTCCCCCCCCCTCTCTCCCCACCTTATTAGATAGTTCTTTCTTTTTTTTTCTCCTTTTGTTTGTTTTTAAATAAACGAAACGAAATATGATAATTTAAATAAACGAATATGAACGAACGAACATGAAAAACAAACGAATTTTTACAAACGTACGATCCAAATTCCCTAACTTTCGTTCATTCTCATCAAAAAAACGATTTTAAATACTATCCTAAATTTTGTCCTAACTTAAACCTAAAAGAGTTTTACTTTTGTACACGAATTATAAACTAACTAACTATATATGTATGTATGTATTCACAATTTTCATAAATATCACGCGTAAGTTTTTATCATTTGTTTGTTTGTCCTGTTGTTGTTGTTGTTTTTTTTTTTTTTTCTTAAGATACATATATACATGCACACACGTATTTCTTAACTGTAATATGTGTGTGCGTGTGTGTATTTATATATGTGTGTATGTATAAATATATTCATATATGTATATATACAATATTTATAAATAATGATAATGTACAAGTGTATAATACACACAATATACAAGGAATTTGTTCGTACGATATTCTAATCAAAGAAACGAGGCTGATTCATAACTATACTGTGAATCGATTTATCGAAATATCGATTTTTTTATCCGACTATCATTTTGCTATAATTATAATATTTACAAAAATTGTATCTAACTTTTACATGTGACGATATTCAATGGATTGGAAACATGCACGCGCATTCTTTTTTCTTTCTATATTTATATAATTATATATATGTGTGTGTGTATACGCGATTACTAGAGAGAGAGAGAGAGAGAGAGAGAGAGAAAGAGAGAGAGAGTATATATATATATATAAATATAAATATATGTATACTTATATACAATATTTAACGCGATATTATAATAGCGATAATAATTGGTAGTAGCATTTAATAGTAATAATAATAATAGTAATAATAATAATAATAATCGCAGTGGTAGTAGCGGTGTATAATACAACTAATACGTAACATTTATCGTACGGGACTTCTTAAATATAAATATCCTTGAAAAAAAGAAAAAAAAAAAAAAGAAACAAAAAATCGAACCGAGCAAAACAAGAAAACCCGATGGAATGAAAATAGACAAAAAATGAATAAAAATATTTAAAAGAAGAAAGAAAAAAAAAAGTTAACCAGAATAGAATATCAAGAAGAAGATAAATAAATAATAAAGCGAGAATGACGAGTATATATATATATATACAATACATATGTATATATGTTTTCTTGTGTAATAAATAAACGAAGAGATAGAACGAAATAAAAAAGAAAAAAGAATTTGCGACAGTTTGTGTGTGTGTGTGTTTTCTTTTTAAAGCTACGAAGAAAAAATACTTATATCGGCGATACTATTATAAGAGAGAGAGAGAGAGAAAGAGAGAAAGAGAGAGAGAGAGATACAGCGCTATATAATAGTTAACAACAACGTTAATAATGTTTCCTACAATTATTAAAAAGCATATAATCATAATAATAATAATAATAATAATAATAATAATAATAATAATAATAATAATATTAATAATAATGGTAATGATTATGATATTAAACACTTAGCCGACCAGCACGCGCCGCAGCGAACTGTAAAAGCAACATTTCAAATGTAAAGCACTGCTTTTTTTTTTTAGTCCATTTCGTGGTTTTTGGAAAAATATTATAATAAGACCAATATATTGGTCTGCACGATCTACCCCTTTCATATAATTTGTCTACATTGAAACGGGGAGATCTCCCCCGATCGGTCGGCTAAATGTTAATAATAATAATATTAATAATAATAATAATAATAGTAATAATAATAATAGCGAGTAATGAGACAACGATAATGATTGGCTTAACACGAAGAAAAATAAATTACGCCCGGCGCACACGATAAATAACGAAATTCGGTGCGCTTATTATCATTTTACTTAAATAATATATTTAATAGTTACCTATTCGTTTCCTTAAATTTAGTATTGAAGAAAAAAAAAAACAAGACTACCAACTTATTTAATATTAATGTGATTGCGTCCATTTCGTTTTTCTTTTTTTTTTTATATAGTTTGTAGTATATTCCAATAGTAGAATTAATTTTATAGAATTATTATATCCAAAGTGCTAATTTTGCTGCTCTAGAATTAATGCATCTATTATACATTTTCGTTTTATGCGTGTTTTTTGTTTTTTGTTTGTTTTTGAACAATTTGGCTAATTATTATATTTTCTGATTTTTCTTTCAATTTACTATTATCTTTTGTTTCTTGTTTTTTTTTTTTTTTTTTTTTTTTTTTTTATAGTGATATTTATGTATATATATATATATGTACAATCCGCAAGAACTCGATAATATGATCGCGACGAGAAAACGGAAAAAAATAAAAGAGTCGAAAACTCGAGGAGAAACGGATCGATGGCGCGACGAGAACACACCACTCGTTTTTGTACTTATAAATTACGCTAATTACTAATTCTAAATATATGTATATAAATAGGATACACGATCATGCATCCCTCTATTCGGATCGCTAAGTCTTTGACCTGCTTTCTCGAGAGTTAAATGGTACTTATTTTTTTCTATTTACATGACAGGTACATAGGCAGACGAAAATAATGGAAAAGTGGAAGAAAAAGAAAAAGAAATTATATATATATATATATATATACCTATATTAATATAAATAAACAAAATTTCGAATATATACGAAAATAAGGAATCGCAATTTAGCTTGACCGGACCTGTACTTAAGTTGTTCTTTTTTTTTTTTTTATCAGAGATGTAACACAACGTAAAGTTTAAAAAATACAAAACGGTATTAAAAAGCTGCGAAATGGTTGGTTGGAAAATATTTGCAGTGTTGCGATTCCTTCAAAAAAAGAAAAAAAAAAAAAAGAAACAAAAACAAAAAAAAAGAATTTCTTTCCTTTTCTATTTCCTGTCGATCCGTTTATAAACGTCCTATCTTATAATCTAAATTCTCATCCGCCCTTTTCCTCGAGTTTACTTCTCTTATTCTTCTTTTTCTTTATCTTTATCATCATCATCATCATCATCATCATTATCATCATTATCTAATATAAATTTCGACTAATAAAGAATTTTCCTAAAGCTTTTGCACGACGACAGCCATTTTACGTTCGGGATCAACAGTGTGAACGATTATTGACGCGTCGCAAAAATACTTGTCCCTAAATAATTTGCTCTATTTATTTAGCGTCTCGAAGCAGATTCAAACTACTTCTTCCAACGATAATTTACCTAATAGTATAAGATCCCTTTCACCTCCAATCGAAGGAGGAGAAATGACCAAAAAATCATCTAGAGTAACTTTTGTCCTAAAAATAGAAGCCGACACCTATCGATCCTTAAAAAGATGTCATCCTATATGTGTGAGTCTGATGTGTCTATATATATATACATATAAACAAATTCTTTTCCTATATAATGTCAATTCGAAATGATGAAATTGTCGAATGTTTTTATACCGTTGTATTCTCGGACGCGTTTCAGAATCGAGTCGTGGTGGTCATTTTGCTCTCGTTAATAAATGTTACTACTTAAGCTGTGGATTCCTGCAGGCCGTAACAATGGACTCGCATATCTTCGATAGCTCTACACCACTCTAATGCGAATCCCTCAGGATCTTCGAGATAATACGTCCTGTTTGGCTGTAACAAATAAATGAAGGATCGATTAGATATAAGATATAGGATGAAATGATTAGAAAGTTGTTTTTTTTTTAATGAAGAGGATGTAGAAACTTACCGTATGGACAAAGAAAATCTTGAAGTTCTTAGGTTCAACCCTGAGTTCAGGACTCCAGGGTATCTCACCCTTGAGTACCATGTTGACAGGGTCGACGTAGTAAAGGTGAGGTCCGGTGGTGAGTAAGAGCATTCTCCGTCTAGCGAAGAGGCCCTTTCTCTTGTTGACGAATCCTTGCTTCAAGATGAGATTACCTTTGACGAAGACGTCCCATTGGCAAGACGTTCGTTGCTTTTCCAATCGGTTTCTAATCTCCTCAGGGCTGAGATCAGCGATGTTACTCTCAGTGCCGGAAGACCTGGTCCTTCTCGGTTGTCTCTCGGCGACAGTAGCAGCGGCAGCAAGTACAGCAGCGCGTCGAGCAGGTTTGTCCATGACTCTTTTGCTCGGTTCGTTGCTAGTAGGTTCAACGTTGCTGTCCGCGTTTTCCTGATCTTCCTCGTCGTCGTCATCGTCATCGTCGTCGTCGTCCTCGCCAATGCCAAGTCCGAGAAGTCTCGTTAACTGCTTGTCATCGAGGCCGGGCTCGAGATGATCCGGAACTCTGTACTGCGACCTGAGTTCCTCGTGTTCCGATGTTCCGGGCAAGTAGGGATAAATCGGCGGTGGCGTTTGTTCATGAAGGGTTTCAAAATCGACACCCTTGAAGAATGGATGAGCACGAATGCTAGGATAACCAGCGCCGTGTTCGTCCTGAGCGCCAAGTCTGTCGTTCGGATCGAGCACGAGGAGTTGACTTACGAGGGACTTAGCCAACTCGCAGAAGCCATCGGGAATTTCGTACTCGAGTTTTAAGATCTTTTGGAATATCAAGTATTCGCTCCGCGAACGGAACGGCGGCAAACCGGCGACCATCTGATAGACGATGCAGCCGAGCGCCCAAAGATCCGACGCTCTGCTCGCCGTTTTGTCGGTCAGTAATTCCGGTGAAACGTACTGCGCTGTACCAACAAAGGAACCTTTGCGTTCCTTGCGACACTGTTGTTGTTGCTGCGGTTGTTGAGCATCATCTGCCGGAGGTCCCACTACCTGCGGTGTCTCCGGATCTTTCAAGATCTTAGCGCTGCCGAAATCGGTAATGAGCAAGTGCATCTTATCGTCCAGTAATATGTTCTCCGGCTTAAGATCTCGATGAATGATACCGAGACCGTGAAGGTACTCGAGACCACGTAAGATCTCAGCCGAGTAGAACTTGGTACATTCGATGTCAAACGAGCCAACCTTATTGATATAAGGTAATAGCTCGCCGTTCTTCGCGTACGATAGAACAAAATAGAGTCTTTCCATATCCTGGAAGGTGCAGAACAAACGCACGAACGAATGCTTCGCTGTCGCGAGCATGTTCAACACCTCTTTCTCGCGTTTCACGTATTCGGTTTTTTTCTCCTTGATAACGTGACGCTTGTCACACACTTTTATCGCGTACTCCTTACTGGTATGGATATCCTTGGCGAGGTAAACCTGAACAAGAAATTAACAGTTACTTCAATGTATATCATAATTATTATTGATAACAATAAACGGTATATTAATGCAAATTGAAAAGAAAATACTTACGGTGGAGAAACTTCCCTCGCCGATCACCTTGCCAAAAATGAAATCCTTCGGAGTGCGCTTATGCGTGAGCGGATTGACGGTGGTAAGTGAAGGATTAGTTGGAACTCGGGGCGCCAAGGTGGCTGCTGGCGCCACTACACCGTTGGTCACATCATTAGTCGGTGGAGACATTTTGGACACCGGCCCCTCCACCGTAACTGCCGGCTGTGGCGAAACGGTAAGCGCCTGGTTCGCCACACGCTGCAACACAAACAAAAGATCCATTTTTCTTTGAAGGAAATTTTAAATGAACTTTAGTAGAGCTGATGATACTTGAGACTCGAGTAGGATAACCGGTAGCGAGACGCGAGGAGAGTATACGGAGAGTCCGGTATCCGGTACTCTTAACTCTTCTCATCCGGTAGCATCGGGAAATCGCGCAGAGGAAGTTGAGCTCTGACGTCATCGCACTACCAACGCGGCACGTGGCCCCACGCATCGAGAGAGACAGAGAACGCAAACTTCATCCTCTCACGCTTTTTACCAGCGAACATGTTCTTCGATCGAAAAGCACACAAAAAAAAAACGCGAGAGAGACGTCGTCTTACGCATTTCCGCTACTCGTTTTTACGTCTTCGGACCATCGACCCTTAATGATTTCATTTCCTGTCCCGAAAGACGAACGAACGGGAGCAACGCACTTCCGTCGAAATGCGAGACGATATAAGACCAAGCTGATATAAATAAGACATAGAGATATGAAAAGAAAGGGAGAGGGAAAGTGCTAAGAGAAGGAAAAAAAAGAACAGGTACACAGAACTGGGTGGGCCCATCTCTGTCGAGAGATAATGGAAAAGATAAATACGCGTTATGGCCCAATTTCATGATTCCTCACCCACGCTCTAGTTCGTTCCCATCCTCATACGTCTGTACATACGCGATACATTCTACCTGAAAGATACAATACTCTCTTTCCGGAGGACTTTGAAAAGAAAACGGCCGATTTGGATGTTCGTACAGGGTCGACGGAAGGAAGAAGAGGAAGGAGGGATGGGAGGAAGGGCGGGAGGGAGTAAGAAAGAAAGAAAGAAAGAAAGAGAGAGGACGTTCGCGTTCTTCCCAGGCCGGTTACGAGGCGGGCCCCACAGCGTCGTCAACCATCCGTATCAGGCCGTCGACCTCCTCCTCGAGAGCGTTAGCTTGAGAGAAGCCTCGTCGTAGTAGGCCCTACACGATGACGTTCCGAGGAGTAACGCTCGAGTTACCTCTCTTTCTCTCCCTCATTCTTTCAAACTTATCTCTCTCTCCTTTATACTCTCTCTCTTATCTACGGTTGGGGTCACGACTTTAAACCATTTCGTCGTCTTTAACACACGACGAATTTCTCAATAACACCGAGGCCTATGGAAATTCTTAGGGCGACAATGTGAAGTAAGCAAGTAGTATATATTATGGGAGAGCATTTTGAGGAGAGTATGCGTGTGCGATATCAGAAAACAAGTTGGCCCATATTTCTTTCTTTTTTTTATATTTTTCTTTTTCTTTTTTTTTTCCAAGGAAAGAGAGAACACAGCAAGCAAACACACACTGGGCGGCCCCTTTCACGAGAGAAAAGCCCTCATCGGAAAAGCGGATTTGCGAGAGACAGCGTGGAGTTTAACGGTGACCGCGTTTCTTCCTGGGAGCAGATTCAATCCCTGGAACGCGTTTTGATCCCGTACCAGGAGAGATAATACATATCGGCCACCCCCTTTATATACATCTTTTTTTTTTCTTTCTCACAGCTTCTCATTTCATTCTTTTCGAAAAGAAAAATCTGACACAAACAGGGTGGAACGTTAAAAATTTCTTCTTTCTTTATCTTTTTTTTTTCAGAATAAAAAGAAGGGAGAAGGAAAAGCCTGGGAATTTTTGGAAATACCGAACCTTTTCTTTTCTTTTTGATACTTTTGGGTCCCCTTTAAGGAGACACTCACTCACTCTCTCTCTCTCTCTCTCTCCTTTTCTTTCTATAGCATAACTGCGACAACAACATAGTCGCACGTATAGCGAAAAGAGAGGAGCGAGACACACACATACATAAACGCACGCATGCACGCACGCGTACGCATTTACACACGAGAGAACGAGCGGCATTCCAACGGACATTCTAATTTTAGCTTCACTCGTTTCTCTCTTTCTCGCACGCGCGCTTTTTTTCCGTCCTTTATAACGTTCCAAGCTCGCTCTCTCTCTCTCTCTCTCTCTCTTTCTCATTTGCTCGTTTCTTCCCTCTCTTTTCCCACTTATATGGCGGTTGCGTTTTTTCGTGGCGCAAGCGGTGCTGCGCTCTGACAGCGGCACGCAGTACCAACCATCTTATCAGTGGTGCTTCATTTTATTCATCTCCAGTAACATATASTATTACTATTACTACGCTTCTACTACTACTATTACTATTACTACACCATTAACTGAATCAATACTTAATGAATTTTATATGACACCCGATTTAACATTACTTTCAAATTCAATCGTTAAAATTACTCGTAACCACAATTATATTAATATTTATTTAAGAAAAAAGAAAAAAACAGAAAAGAAATGATCAAAATAAAAATATAAATTTCAGTATAATTCTTTTAAGGGATGAGAGAAGGTGTAACGAAGAACCACTGGACAACATAGTCCACCACCTTTCTCTCTCTCTCTCTCTCTCTCTCTTTCCCTTCTCGTCTTTCTTCTCTCTTCACCGTTTGCACGAACGACGACAGACGGCAGTGGCGGTGGTAGCCACGAAAGAGAGAAAAGGAAGAAAGAAGAAAGAAAGAGAGAGAGAGAGAGAGAGATAGGAGAAAGAGAGAAAAGAGGAAGGAGGCCGATCTCCGACTATCCCCACCCTCGTTCCGTTTTTCCCGAGAACACAGAAGGGACTACGCCTATCGTCGTCGTCGACGGTGGCGGTGGCGGTGGCGGTGGCGGCGCAGGCGGCCGACACTTTTGTCCGTGAATGAAATGTTTTGCATTCGCAGACGCTGAGAAACGTGTCGCGAGCACAACCTAAATTAGAACACGCGGTGCGGTGGTGGCAACTACAGCGGCGG